ATACTAAACATATTTTATATGAAGAAAATTATATATGCATTCAGAGATGCAGTACTTTAAAGTGTATCAGCTATGGCACCTTCCTGTATGCACAGTATCTATTGGGAGCAAGAGGGATGCAGGACTTGGGCAAGTGTTCCCACAGGATACTAAATGCATCCCATGAGCTGGTTCAGATTTTGAGGATGAGAAATGCCTCATTGAGTGTATGGCTTAGCTCAAGGTCCTGGGATGCAACAGGAGGAAGAAAGAGTGCTTCACTGTGGCGGACAGTACTTGTAATGGCCCATATATACAGCCAGTGGGAGGAGCTGCTGGGGATAAATAACTCCCAGACACCAATCAACCAGCCACTGAACTCCATGGCAAGGCACCAGCAGAGGCAAGAGGCCTAATCGGACATGCACTTTGTAGGCATGTCATGAGCGAAGCCAGCTGGAGCCAGGGGTCAGACTAGATGGCCCGGGAGACCCCTTCTGACTTGCTCTGTTTCTATGTTTGTAATTAGATGAGCAGTGTGCAGAGAGGATAAATGCTCACCTTCAGAGAATCCCTCCTGAATGGTTGAGGCACAAGTATGTTCACAAGTAGAGGTCCTGGAGGTAATCACTAGCTTGAGTTCAACAAACTGCTCTGTGCATGCTCAGAGATCTGTTCTGGGTGATTTGTACTGGAAGCAATCAACAACATTTGCGAGGAAAATAGACTGTGGCTGCTGTTTGTTCAAAGGGGAAAACTCAGTTCCCAACAGTATCTGATTTGCTGTCTGTTTCCTTTTAAAATAATGATGAAAAGTCAGAGCAGATACTCTATTTTGATCTGATCTAAGTGAATTTGTGAGTGCAGTCTGCTCCTATTTGCTTGTTTAATTATGATTTTACACTCACAGTACCCTTCCCCCTTTTTTTCCTGATATGTGGTAACAGCATTCTTTGTATATCTCCACTTGGACTCATGATAGAGATTTTGTGGGGAAAACAGTCCTGCAATCCATTTGTATGCAGTAAGTTCAGCAAAATCTTCAGCCATGACAAATACCTTTATAAAAGAGTGATTTGCTTCTTTAAAAAATGCCTTGGCTAGTAAAGCACACACCAATCAGGTTTCAGATTTACTCCTAGCAGCATAGATGCTAATTAGGAGTTTGTTATGCTGAAGTCCACTGATTTCATTTGGCTGAAGCATGCCAAATTCTGTGTTGGATGCAGGACCCTTCCTTTCTGAAGTGCTGTGGTGAACTTTCAAAATACATGAGCCTTGTGAATGAAAGCAGTTGTTGTCTTTGTTTGTGATCACAATATTTGGGGAGAAGCAAGACTGCTGTTTAGAAGGTCAGATACTGAAGATGAAACTCAAATACTTTGGCCATCTAATGAGAAGGAACAACTCATTGGAGAAGATCCTGATGCTGGGAATGATTGGCGGCAAAAGGAGAAGGGAATGGCAGAGGATCTGGTGGCTAGATGGAATAACTGGGGCGGTGGGTGTGGGCTTGGGTGGACTCCAAGGGATAGTGGAGGGCAGGAGAGCCTGGAGGAGTATTGTCCATGGGAACATGATGGGTCGGGCACAACTATACAACAACAACAACAACAAAACCTCACTTTTCAGCATATGGGAAGGGAAGATGCTACCTAGAGAAGCTGCTACCATTATTGCAAGCATTTATAAATGAGCCCATGTATGCAACCACACTACAAAAACGAGAGGTAGGGTGACATGGATTTAGAAAGCTTGCAGAAAAATCAGGAAAAAACTTTTCCATAACTATCAAGCAATCCAATTATTAGAATCATACTTACCACTGAAAAGGACAGCTATACTTGAACCACTACCCAGAGAAATCACACTTACTTACCAAGTATAAACCACTATAATGTTATCTGATTCTCACTCTTACAGTGTGACGAATGTATGATTGCTATCACATTCTACTGAAAATAAAGTTTAGCAGCAGTTTCGGAAGTTTCATTCGGACAGAAGCTGATACAGACTTTCACTGAGAATTGGTAGGATCTGTATGTAATGAGTGGGGTGTTCCCTTTAGTTTCCAAAATATGCTGGACAAATATGCACATTCTGCCAATATTCCAGACCTGGTGGGCTAAAACTTCGATTATCCTCTGGCAGTACATTAAATATTAGAGGTTGCCTCATCTTAAGAGCTTGGCTAAGCTGAAACCCATTATGCGTTTGACCACTGCTTTCCACTAAAAGCACTTCCTACATTTCCTTCTCAGAGCAAGGCTGTGAAAAGGAGAGAAAATCTGTAATATCACACCAACCTTCCCAACTTCCATTCAGATTAAACACTCGTTGTCCTTACTTTATATTATGGATTGATTGATCTGAATTGTGCCCCAGCTGGTCTACCAAAAAGAAAAAAAAGAAAAGAAAAAGGCATTTAAGGCCACTTACAATCACATATGCAACCTGCTAAAACAATAACAAAAAATTAAACACGCCATGAATAGAATAAAAACAAAATCCAACCCAACAGATCAAGTTACAAGCCAAGAGCCCACTTAAATAAAAAAGTACTTGCCTCCCAACAGAACAGGGAAAAGGTGCCTAACTTCTCTTGACAGAGAACTGCACAGCCAAGAAGCAGCCACCAAGAATACCTTCCTTTGAGTCACCAGCAAATACAGTTCTGAATGTGGTATTCTTAAAACAAAATGTTGGGACCAGGGCAGGCTTAATTGGCTGAAGGCATTCTTCCAAGCAGCTTAGCCCCAAGAGCTTTATCAGTCATAACCAGTGAACCTGTTGTGGCGAAGAGTCACACGCTCCTTGCAACTGGTGCCCGGCAACACTCTGTCCACAGCATGCTGGACCAGTTGAATTTCCTGAGTTCTTTTTGGAGGCAGCCCCATATAGTCCAAATGGGACATACCTCAGGCATATGTGTTCATAAGCAAATTCAACACCCCTAGGAATTGGCACAGTTCGTACACTAGCCTTAGCCATACAAATGGACTTCAGACCACCAACAAATCTTAGCATCCAGTTTCAAGACCAAGTTCAAAAAAAGAAGCAAATTGTAAGCCTGAGTCTTCAGCATTTGCAGCAACATCCTGCACAGATTGACTCTCTCCCTATTCCCTGATCTGTCTTTTGACTAACCAGACCATTGTTGTCTTGTTTGGGTTCAGTTTCAACTTGTTTGTTCTCATCTGCTCCACTGTGCACAGCAGTCAAATTTTGGAACCCAATGAGCTTCCTGGAATCTGGATTGAAATGTTGCAGCAACTTGCTCAAGAATGGAATGCAGAAGAGCAGTTGGAAATTTTCCAAAATGCTTTGTGGGGGGGGGGTCTGTTTGCATTTGCTTGTTATTAAACAAAAATCTTATGAGCACCTCCTTGAGGCAAAACGGATAATACTTTACTGGACAGAGTAAAGTATTATGTCACCAGTACCTGTATCCAGTGAGCCAGCCTCACACTGGCTGCTTGTAACTGGCAGAAAAGATAAGGGTCCAACAGACTTTTAGTAGACTTCAGTATTCCAGAGATATCCTGTCTACATCATTGTGCTGTATGAATTGGGAAGTATCCATTATAACTGTATAACAAGGCTTGAAAATTGCCAAATACGACATCCAAATCAGCACAGATATGATCATTTTCATCTGTAAACTGTCATGGAATCTCCTCTTCTTGTGCACCAGAATATAACAAACTACTGACAGCCTGAAAAACCTCTGTTTGGTAATGCTGTGGAGAAAAGTTGGGAGAAAAGTGCCACCCTCACAGAGTAGGCTTCCAAATAAACTACAGCCCATGTTCAATCAAAGTTTTTCTGAGTTTCCTGGAAACAGGTCCCACTTTTTTCATTGTCCACAGCATTGTGGAAAACCAGGAGTGTTACGTATCTGTCTTCACTTTGTGGGGATGACACTCAGAAGCACTAGTGCCAGCTGCCCAGGTCTTTCCTCCATATCTAAGATCAACCAGGTGTTCACATAATTGCCTGAAAAGTGACAGGACGATCACCAAGAACTGTCAGAAAACCATCCAAATTCATCAGTCAGCTGGGGTCACCATCTTAATTGGTTGCCCACTCCTGCAAAGGCTCAGCTGCTCCAGGTAATGAACTGTTCATGACAATGTAGCTGTAGAAAGTTCTTCCACCTACAAATCACTGTCATCCATCCTACACACAAGTCCACATTTAAAATTTGATATGCTGAATGAGGGGGGCAGGTACTAATTGGGACAGTTCTATGACTCTTATGGACACCATGAATTCTGAAGCACTTGCCAGTTGAAGTCCCCCAGCATAAGCTAAGGAACTGCAGCACCAATCTCAAGATGACCCAGCAAGCTTTGGAAAGTAAACTCTTGAGCAGCAGGATTGGTGATGTACCAACAGAGTCCTTATTCTATACTGAACATTCATCTTCACATGCACACACTGAAAATGGAAGACCATAGGATGGGGTACCTGCACAGGGAGATAAACCACTGTGACTCCATCTCCCCACCCCCACGCAAATCTTGCCTGCTACAAGTCAGGTAGGCAAAGCTGGGAAAGATTTACTCCAGACTTAGTCAGCCATGCCTCTGTGATACGGAACAGGTCAGCATGCTCACCCTGGATCAAGGAGTGAATGGTGGCTGTTCAATGAACCCCTCATTGTACTTCCCATCCCCAGACTGATTCAGCTGCCTCCTACTGCCATATCTCCCTCTACCTGCTATTGTTTCAGTGGCTACTCCCTGCGTCCCTCTCCCTCTCTTTAAAGCACAGCTTTCCACCAGCAGGTAATAAATGCAAGGTCTGATAACAATATTTATTAGTTAATTATTACATATTTATTAAAAGTAACAATTATTTATTACTTAATTGTTACAATTAAGGCATATATAGCAATAGGTTATTTTACAAACAGAATCTGAAAAAGTAGATTTCTTCCTTCACAGTATTTGCAAACTGGCTAATATGAAATATATATACTAAAAAAAAGCAGACTTTCTTAATCAGCGGTGGCTCACCTCCTGTGGATCCACTTCTTACAGTCCATGGGACAGATCTTACTCTGGCTTCTATGATGAAGGGCCCCAAACATGTGATATGCAGCTATAAGAAAGAGAGAGTTCCCATTTAGATTAGAAACACTCTGTACATAGAATGATAGTGTTGGGAAACAGAATGACAGCCAATGATGGAGTACTAATCATGCCACACTGGTTATGATACAGCTCTAATAAACAGAACTCCTGAATGACAGGCTCTATTAAACCTGAAAATTTTATGAGAAGCAACAGATCTAAACACACAAATAAATTGAAAAATGGTAACGTTTTTAGGCTTATTCTCTGGGGCCTTCCCTTGACTGCCGACCCACAAGAGGCTCAGAGAGTGGCAGCAAGGGGGAGAGCCTTCTCCGTGGTGGTCCTGCCATTTCTGTGCTATGTTCTGCCTGGCACTAAATTTGCCATTTTTTCAGTGCCAGGTTAAGACAGCCCTCTATGCAGAGCCTTTAAAGATCTCCATGGTTATCCAAGAACCTAAAAAACATTATTTAGGCTATTTTACTCCCTTGTTCTATTTCTAATTGTATTTTAAGCTATTTTAATTAATTTTAAATTCATTTTAACATTGTTGTTTTTATAGTACTTGAATTGTATGTTTCATCCATTGTTATAAACTACTATGGAACAGTATAAAGATGAAATTAATAATAACAAATATCATTTTGGTATCAAGAAAATGTTCCAAACTGAATAGAGGATCAGGTTTTAAATCCTGCTCTTTCACTCGTTTGATTTGACTCAAGCCATACAATAAATACCTTATCATTTTGACACGAGGCTAAGTTTATCTAGTGTATTTTAACTCTGATTAAATCTGGATTCCAAACAACATGGATGCTGCAGAAAACCATCCACAAACATATCTAGGAAAGACTGAAGTCGCTCTGTATTATCAGCTACAACCAGTCACAACATATGATTTACTTATGAACGCACGCTGTGTACGAGATGGAATACTTAATTAAAGTGGTATGCATATACATACAAACTCAAAAGTGCTACTACCATATACTAGTAGATAGAGTGGCAAACAGAGATTTACCCAGTCTTCTTTCAATGTGAAATGCCTTGTCTGGTTTCCACAAAGGAGTGTTCTTTGTTCAACATGGCCTGGCACAGCCAATATAATGGTAATCTGCTCTTCAAATAAATCCACTGCACCAGATGGCAAGTTTTTTTTAAAAAGAAATCAGCAGAAAAAAATGAGAATTTTATCAAGATCCTGAGAATTCCGGATCTATGCTTTTAATAATTTCTCCCATAATTATCTCATTCTTTCTGTGCAGAAAATATTTGGCCTAAAAGCATGTAGACATGCCATAATACAGCTGAAAAGTAGACAGAAGCCTATCCCATAAAGCTTTTGCTTTGCAAGTTTCTACGGGAATGTCACTCTTTTGCCAGACTTATACTCGATTTAAACATTTGGGATTCCCTAGATTCTTGTTTTGCATCTATCTTCGCAAAGAATTCATGATCAAAAATGCCACTTGTTCACTAAGTGGGAGGTGAGGAGATGTACAGGAGAAGATGAAATCACATTGCTGGTAGCCACAGAGTAATAATAGAAACTGTATTGAGCTATAAAAACAAAAGAAGCTCCATGGAACCTATTAGAGAATTACTTGCAATTCCTTCACTGGTTTCTTGATATCTCTGGTCTCAAGTTCCTTCTGGATGCCATTTTGTGGTTGCTGATGTGATGGGGCAGCTGAGCCAATCAGGTGCTGTCAGCTTTGCCCATGGGACAGGACAGAAAGGGAGCCTGATCACTCCATCACATGCTGTTCTGTTCTCCTTAGGAAGGATCGGGGCAAAAGCCATCTTGGGCCTCAGGAACATACTTTGCTGCAGGGGGAAGGAGTATGTGGGCTGCCTATTTCTTACCTCAGGGTCACCTGGGGAAGAACTCATTTGGACATTGGCCTTGTGCCTCCAAACACACCTTACCAAACAGGAGAAGCAATCATGATCTGTAAGCTGTCCTGAGATGTCATACATAAAGGATGGCATATAAAAGTTTTAAATAAATGAATAATCTGCAAGAGATTCTGCTTTCTCATTTTCCCAATGGGAAGCCTCCCATTGATAGCCTAACAATGCACAAAACCTCTAAACAAAAGAAAGTTTTTTTTCCAGGCGCAATTACTGCTTCCTCCTGGCATCTGGAGAGGAACTACAGGGAATGTTAGAGAGATTGTCCCTAATCTCTGCCCATGCAACAGAATTTCATCCTTATTTAATGAAATTTGTCATTTAGTGAATGCCATTCCAGCCATTCCAGTTTCTCTTGATCAAAGCTAAAATTATTATTTAAGTACAACATGGCACTGTGGATTTTTAATGCAAGTATCATACATATGCTCAGGAAAGAAAAAAAGTACTCAAAAGAGCAGCTCCTTTTCTTTTGGGAAAGCTTTCTCTTCCTATCATTTCTTCAATATTTTTTCCTATAACAAAGGACCAAAATGGCAACTTTCACTGTAAGTGGCTAGTATTGACATGGCACTCTTTGTAAACCCATCTAAAAGAAATTTGTTCGTACTAAGGACTTCAGTTTTTGAAAGCCAAGCAACATATGTACCCATACGGTATCTATCAAAATATTTGTACTTGTCTGTAAATTGCTGGCTCAACTTTTAAACTACCACTTCTTGGGTAACAAATCTCCACTAAGGAGTGACACCATAGGATTATAACCATATTTATACACTACTAGATAAATCACAGGATAAAGTGTTGAGGGTTATTTCAGAAGGAACTGGAATGTTCTGTGCCAACCAATTTCTCAAACTGTAATAGCTTTCCTAAGAGGGGTTCATGTTTTATTGGGATTAATATTGACTTAAGACGTTTTGAAATGGATAACTGTCATCTCAGGTACATCCTGGGGATTTTCCAAATATTATTCTGAAGGAAAGTTTCTCACAGTGTTTTCAAAAAGCATTTCTATTTGCTTAATTCAAATGAATGTCTGGATAAAAATGATCCATGTTTATTAACTGTCCCAAAATGACAGGTACACAAAACAGGACTGGATGTTTGTGCATTTAAGCTTTCACATTTATAATGAATAAATGGTGCATGTACTTCCAAAAGCAGGCAAGCACCATCTATATATTTGACACCTGATTGCTCTTAGGAAAGAGTCTGGCATGCAGATGAGCATGTTTGGTTCAAACTTCCAAAGACTATATTACTAAAAACAAACAAAAATCCTGCATGGGTCTTTAAAATATATTCAGAAAGGAAGAAGATATAATACAGAAATAGTTTGATGGAAGCAAATACAGAGCTCATTTTAAAAAGAAAATTAGCACCACACTTTTCATTCACTACTTTTTCTTTTGCAAATCATTTGTAGCTCTACCCAATCCATGCTTTGAAAAAAAGTGTCAAATGCATAAGAGCATGAAAACCCGCTTGATATAATGAAGTGGAATTTTAAGAAAAATGCAAGGGAAAAAACAGGTGAAGAAACGTCTTAAGTCTCCTCTTGCAGCAAGATGGTCTTATCCTAAATCAGAGGTATAATTTCTAAAGGACGACAGAAAAACCGAGCACATGTAGCTATGCTATGTGTGCCTACCCAACAAGTTCAGTGAAATTGACTTTCTCGGGGCTAAAATAGTAATTTAAGACATGGTTAGGGTCAGGGTTAGAATTTCATTCATACTACAAGGGTCCGGCCCAGTTCAGGAGAACTTTAATCCCTTTCTCCTGCTGCAGTTCTGCTATTTGCACTTCCAATTTGCACTTCCAATTTATAATGCCAAGTCTGCTTTAACAGATCACTATTTTGCAGTATAAACAGCAGCGGCTGTCGATGTCACCTATACTAATGCACAAAATTTTGTAACACGTGTGAAGATGCTGAAGAGCAAAAGAGAGTTATTAATGTCTGAACAACTATTTGCATCTTGATTGTTTCCTTGACATTTACAGATTTGAGTAGCATAGTGGCAAACCATTAGAGATACACAGCTATAAACCATACGACTATTATTAAGGGTTGTTATCCATCTTCTGTATGTCTCATCAAACTATATACAACCTGTCCACCTTGTATTGTGGCTTGGCAAGTAGTTGATTATGTGCCATCTTGAAGCAGTCTTTAGTTGCAAATGCGGCATGTGTGTGGGGTGAGTGTTTTGGGCCTGTGTATGGGATGTCCCTTCCTTTAGGGAAGACATATCTCTTTCCTTGTTTTTCACCAGAAAGAACAAACTGACAGTAAATACAGCAGCTCTAGGGCTTATTCTTTCTTGTTACAGCACAAGTACTACAATTTAGTAGTTATAGAAACAGAGTTCTTTCTTAAGGAATTGCAAGGATAAGGTGAAATAGCCCCAGAGCAATACTGGTAAATAGATGAAGAACATTAAAAAAAAAAATCCATGCTGGATCAGACCCAAGGTCTATCCCATCCAGCTCCATACACACAGTGGCAAACCAGATGCCCACAGGATCCCTCAAGCAACTGGGCAGGATGTCTTCCTGCCCAGCTCCTCAGTAACAGGTGTATGCAGGCATGCCACCTCTAATGAGGGAGAAAGCACAGAGACTGCAAGACTAGTTAACGACTGATAAGCTTTATCCCTCTTGAATCTGTCCAATCCCTTTTTAAACCCATGCAGATTGATGGCCATCACCTCTTCCCATGGCAGCAAAATCCACAGTTCAACAATACACTGTGAGAATAAATATTTCCTGTTATGTGTCTCAGGAATCAATTTCATAGAGTGACCTCAGGGGTTATGGGAGAGGAGAATAATGTTATCCTCTCTATTTTCTCCACACCGTGTGTTATATTAACGATTCCTATCATGCCTCCCCTTGCTCACTTTTTTCCTAAGCTGAACAGTCCCAATTATTGCAGCCACACCTCATAGGGGAGTTGCTCCGGCCCCTAGATCATCTTTGTGGGCCCTCCCTGCACCAAGGAGGCGGCAAATGGAGAAGAGTTAAGCAAGCTGCACGCAAGGATGAATGTCAGTGGAATGATATGGAACCCCACAGACAGGGACAGTAGTAGCAGGAACT